ATAAATGAGAAGATGGAGTGGGCAAAACCGGAGGAGTGGCAAAAACTGACTGGAAAGCAGGAGTACCATGAGCCACCTTAAACCGAGTTTCTTCCGCAATAAGCTCACGGACAGCACCATCCATAGAAGGCAAGGGAGACTGATGAAGAGTAGCTCCCCGATGTGGCTCAAATTGATCACGAAGGGCCATGAGAAATTGAACAAGATGTTGTTTCTCCCGATACTTGATATAACTGTGAAGTAACTGCAAATCGGACGGTTCCATCAAAGCAAGCTGATCCCAATAAGTAGTCATCTCATTGTAGAACTCCTGAATGGATTTATCTTTCTGACTAGCACTGCGAATAGACATCTCAAGTTCATACTGTTTTGCAAAGTTAGACTCAAGGTACATAGTCTTCAAATAGTCCCAAACTTGTTTAGAAGTAGAATACTTGGAAAAATTCAAACCAATGGTAGTTTGAACTGAATTATGAAACCAAGTAAGAATTTGTGCATTTTCCTTATCCCATTTAGCAACATCGGCCTCAGTTCTTGAGATTCCACAGGTCTAATAGTCATACCAATAACATAATTCCACATACCTTTACCCATTATAAAATTTTTCATCACATGAGACCAATAAGAATAATTGGTACCATCTAATTTAGTAGTAATAGCTTGCAATTTATCATCAGCCATATTGTATACCCAAACTACAGTGCATTCAAAACAGAGTGAAAGGCAGCAGAGAAGAGAGAGAGAGAGAGATGAATGACCTGTCAAGAGTAGCAATGCACTCTTCTCATAACCACGGCAACCTATAAACCAGAGAGCAGTGATGGAGGTTCACCGTTTACGAGAGCTAGGTCAAAATAGAGAGAAGATCAGCGAGATACCCAACCTAGGTCTCCGAATGAATTCATTAAGGATAGTTTAGTACTTTAGATTATTACGGATTATTAGGGTTTCGTTTCATTCTATCGTTTATATATTTTGTAATTCTTTTGATTAATCTATACACACAAGTTTTGTCATCTGTTATCATGGTATCAGAGCAAGGTTACAAACAGTAGCATACCTCGCAGGTCATCATCGACCATCGCAGCTCTGTCTCTCATCGCACATCGCAGCTCTGTCTCTCTCTTTGCAAGGTCATCGAAGCAGCTCCTCTCGCAGCTCTGCCTCTCTCTTCGCAAGGTCGTCATCGAAACAGCTTGTCTCATTTGCTGGTTTTGGTTCTGGTTCAAACGAAACCCTAATAATCCCTAATAATCTAAAGTACTAAACTATCCTTAATGAATAATATAAACTACATAATTCACAGGTTCAGTATTGCTTTGTTTGCTGTTATGTTCTGTCTCTTGTTTGTGTTTTGCCTGGCTTTGGTTTTTGGTTTCTCTTCTTGTTCTTCTTCCTGTCGAGTTTGGTTCCTCACCAAACTCTTGGGGTTGAGCTTGCAGATGATTGGGCTATCTTCTCGGTGCCAACTTAGTTGGGATTGGGTTAGGTTGCTATGATGCATGCTGCTCTCCCCCTCCTTTTTTTGATGTAATCTCATCCCTTGTATGGTTTTTCATCAATAAAGGTTCTTTTTTTTCTAGCCACAGGTGTACATGCTATGTGTGCAGTTCTATCCCCTCATGAACAACTTCTAGCCACAGGTGTACATGCTATGTGTGCAGTTCTATCCCCTCATGAACAACTTCTAGCCACAGGTGTACATGCTATGTGTGCAGTTCTATCCCCTCATGAACAACTTCTAGCCACAGGTGTACATGCTATGTGTGCAGTTTTATCTTATACCCATTACATATACACACGTGTAAATAAAAAGAAATATAATTGAGAAAGTTTAGAGGATGTTGCAACATTAACGAGATATTGTTTGGAAATTATGGGTGAGACATGGTTTTGTGGATAAGATTCAGTTTTTTAGTGTTACACAGCCACAGCTTCAAAAAGACTTATACACCAAATTAACATGTTCACTTTATACAATAGTATATATATAATAATGGATGGGATGCTGTGGGTGAGATTATGTTTATTTGGGGTCATGGTGGTGAAGTTGTGTTGGAAAAATCTTTTGATGACATAACACTATCATCTAAACACTTGTTAGGAAAAACGACCTTCCGTTTCTAACAAGTAAATATTTTGTGTTCAAATTATATATTGTGCTTTACAAAATTGTATTCAAATTATTATTATTTTTAGACTGTCAATTTCTGCTGCAGCACTCTTTCAAAGACATTGGATTTGGTTTCGTAAGATATGCCACCGTAGAAGACTCTGCAGAAGGTATAAAGGGCATGGATGGCAAGGTGAGGTGACTTTAGCGCAAATACTTCATGCACATAAAAACACCCTTGCACAGACAAAAGTAGCTGGAAAATGATGGTTTGGAATTATGTGTCAGGATTACTGTTAAGGAAATGGGTTGCCCTTTAACAAGAATGCCCCCCATTCCCTTCTGTTTTTTATTTTTATTTTTTGAAAATTCCAATTCATTAACAATATTAGGAAGAAACCTTTGGGTCTTGAGACACACCATTGTGCTCAAACAAGAATTCATATTCAACTATGAAAATGAATCCCATGTTTCTGACTGTGTAGTTACCTGTTTGATTCCTCATAAGAAAGTGAAGCACAAGAAGAAAATCAAGTGCTCAAAATTTATTACGAAGTATCTTATGGCACAAATTACTTATGTTAAAATGTTGGATAGCGAGCGTGCTAACAAAGTTCTACTGTTTCTCAAAGTGGTTTAGAGAATATATATATATATATATATATATATGGTAGAATTATTTGAGTTCTAGTATTTTTATTTCTTATGATGACTTCTGGCATGTTGAGTTTTGTGAATTGATTGTTTTTTAGGCTGTGCTGTTTAAAGCTTGAATAATCTGTATGGATTTTGAATTTCCTATGTAAAAGACAATGTACCTTAGGCTGTGCTATGTAAAGTTTGAATTACTTGTATGGATATTGAATGTTAAACTTTTCTTATGTAAAAGACAAATGTCAATGGTCAACTACACCTTCTGATGGCCTTAGCAAGAACACAAAAGGGAAGAACTATATACCTGTACTAGATAGTGGTCATTGTTCATGTTGTGTTTTGATAATACCCTTGAAATGAGTGATCTTCTAGTGGCAGGAACACGGAAGACGTGTACACTTTTATTAGATGTTGATTATTGTTCATTTTGTGTGATTTAGTAGCCTTGACAATTCATGACATTCAAAATTACTCTTGTTTTCCCATATCACCAGCACAATACTATATGCATTTTCTATGCCAGGGGGCTCTTTTAGCTACTTATTGTTATGATATTGATGATTAATTTATTGGGTATTGAGAATGATGAATTTTTGTCTTGTTGATTGTGTAGTTTTTGGGTGGATGGGTTATATTCGCAGAGTAGGCTAGACCAAGACCACAACCTACTCAGTTCAAGAACAATGCTGGATCACCACCTCCTGGATATGGGTCTCCATATGGTCGTCAATGAATTATTAGTGGAAGAAGCTAGTCATTTTAAAGATATCAGATTGTTTTGACAGCAATTGTGCTTACTCTCAGTTCTCTATTTTGACTTGCTGAGAGTAGAGTCTAGCCTTATATGAATCTGAGCAGAGATTGAATTGAGAAATATAGACTTGAATTGCTGCATGTTAAGACATTTTTGTGTAGACTATTTGCATCTGCTATTCATGAATATCCTGTGACAATTTATACTAATGAGACTGTATTAAGACACTTCAAATTTATGCATGTTGGGACCTCCTCGGAGCCAGCTTTTCCTTATGTTTCCAGATTTTAACAATTAGATATTAATTTTGTTTAATCCTCTGTTATGTATGGAATTATATTTTTGAGATTGGATTATACTTGATTTGTATAGAAATTTTTTTGAAAATATTAATTTGATGTTAAATATGATTTTTATTTATTTTATTTTATTTTTATTTTTTTTTTTTATGGTTGAAAGTGAAATGTGAGTGTGTTGTGGAATGGTTGATAATTTTATCAGTATATAGATAATTTTATTTATAAAATGGGAAAAAACTTTTGGCTACTAAATATTTGGTAGCTAAAAATAAAAATAAAATGGAGAAAAACTATTGGCTACTAAATATTTAGTAACTAAAATAAAAGTAGACTTTAGGCGACTAAGAATTTAGTAGCTAAAAAAAAAAAATTAAAAAAAATAAAAAGATGGAAAAAACCCTTTGGCGACTAAAACTTTGGTCGCCGTAGATACTTCAAGTTTTGGTGACCAAAGTTTTAGTAGCAGAAAATAAGATTTTTGGTGACTAAATTTTATTTTAGGCGACTAAAAAAATTAGTCGCCATTTATAGGACTTTTGGCGACCAAAAAAAATTTAGTCGCCAATACCTTCCCCGACAAGTTGTCCGCGACCAGTCTAGCGACCAAAATATTTAGTCTGGCAAATCATTTGGCGACTAAAAATTGTACTTTTGGCGACTAAATTTTTAGTCGCCAAATGTGTATTTTGTTGTAGTGCCACGTCATAAGTTATGTGTGTGCTACGTTTGTTGGTTCAATATCCTGTTAATTTCTATATCGGTCCGACATGACTCCGTAAGCTGTCTCGACATTGATTCCGGTTAGCTCTTACATCTATCCGGTATGACCTCTTTAAACTGTCCCGACATTGATTCCGGTTAGCTTCTACATCGGTCTAGCATGACCCCTTTAAACTGTTCCGACATTGATTCCGGTTAGCCCTTACATCGGTCTGGCATGACCCTTTTAAACTATCCTGGCATTAGTTCTAGCTAGTTCCTTTCAATGGTTCGACACGATCATAAACTGTCTCTCGGCATTAGTTCTAGTCAGTTTCTACATCGGTCCGACACGACCATAAACTGTCTCCCGCCTTTAGTTCCGGCCTCTAATCTATTTCAAGCGCCATTGCACTCCCGTTCGGATTTGCAATCTAGTTTCCTTTTATTTTATTGTTTTATTTCATATTTTAGTTTTTCTCTCCAAACTCAAGATGCTTATCCTCCTTGAGTTTGAGGGGGATGTTAATGTATATATGGTATATATTCCTACATATATTAGGTATTGCCATAGTTAGGTCTCTTATAGGATACTCTTTCTCATTGTTAGATTTCTAGTAGGATACTATTTCTTAGTTTATATATACAGGCCTTCTATGGTATTCAATACAATTCATTCAATACAATACATATTATTTTTTTTCTCTCTCTACTATTCTAACACTAATTCCTAGTAGCTTAAGCTTTTGGGCTAATTAGTGACTTGACAAGATCATGTTCAGAGATTATGATCGTGTAGCTAACCTTACATACGGAGATGCTTTGTGTACAATCAAATTACTAGTATTATTCATGGCTTCATAAATTTCATATTATGGCCTTTTGTTCCTTGTCCTTAAAAATGGTTTCAAATATCCTGTTTTGGAAATTATGGATCCACTTATCAATATATCCCATCTCTCTGTCTTTGAGCTTATTTTGCTGATGTTTTGGGTCATTGTAGTTAATGTAAAAATAAACTCCTTTTTTCCTTGTAGAAAGTGCAAAACGAGCTGCTGGACGTATACAGCACCCAATTACTTGAAATGGAGAATTCTAGATGCCGTGTTTTGCTTAGAGATGATAAGGTATTATTATATGGAGTTGCGTTATTTCATTGTTTAGAGAACGTAAAATATGGTCATCTGAAATAAAGCCATATATGATAAGTAATATCTCCAATTTGTTTTCTCATCTTAGGTAGAGGATCTCTCTACGATGTATAGACTATGCCATAAAATTCCTAAAGCTTTGGAACCAGTTGCTAATATATTTAAACAGGTATGTTTTCTTCTTCTTCTTCTTTCTCATAATTTGTGGAGCTAAAGGAGCCTTTGGACTTTATTATCTTTTCTCTTATTGACATTTTGTGTGGAATTGCTGATGCAGCATGTTACTGCTGAAGGTGTATGATTTGTCCTATGTAGCAAAAGTTGTTAGATATAACAACACGGAAATATAACATTCATTTTTCATTAGTCATAAAATAAAGATGTAACTAAAAAAAAAAGATCCTCACAAATGGCTGTAACTTGAGCCGGAAGACTATTCATCATTCTTTGTGATACAATCAAGATTTGAGGACCAACTTTTGAGAACAGAAGGCACACAATCAAGCGAAAGAAGCTGGTTTTTTTCAAGTTGCATGATTAAACATAATTTTTAAATTTAGGTCATTATGTCTTTTAAGAGTCTTGTCACTAGGTGTATTTTTGGGAGTTTTCTTAATTGTTAGGAAACTGTGATATCTTTGAGGTGGCTACTAGTAGGAGGGGAACTGTATATAGACTTGGGCCCTCCGCTTTTCGCAAACTCTTTTGTTGTATGTGTGGATTTGGTGTTACATAACAAACACCTTTTTTACCTGGCGCCCTCCTATTTAATGCTCCAATCTCTTTAATAGCTCTCCAACTATGTGTTTCAGTAATATAAATAATACAATAATAATGATATCTGTATTGAATATAGGAGTTATGAATTTTTGTGATGAAAGTTACAAATATTTGTGATGTGCTATACCACGTTATGATAACAGTTACGAATGGTGAATATATGTTGTGCACCTATGAACTATGTAGTGAAAATTACGAACCATTATGGTTATGTTTTGAATGATGTGATATACATGTAATGAACCATTTGTGGTGTGCAATGTTACAAACCATTTTGGTGAAAATAGTTACGACTTCTTGTGGTATTTGTCATGGAATGTTGTGGTTATATTATATATATTGTTGTGGGGTGCATGTGGTATGTACCTTTTTAAGGTGCTCCCTCACATGTATTATGTTCTAAAATAAATTTTTAATTAAAGTATTCGATTTTACAAATAGTGGAAGGCTTCTTTTAGAAAAGATTAGATATCATAGGCACAAAAAAATATTAAGTACAATAGTGACACCATTTTATGTGAATAAAAAATTGTAAATAAAATTAGGTTGACAATCCTTGTCTCTAACTAACCCAGTCATTATTTCTTACTACCGCAATGTAAGAACTTGGTTAGTGATACCACCACGAGATATTTTCGTTATACCCAATATTTAACTAAGTTTTAAAACTTTATCCATTTCCAATTGATAGCATGAAAAATCCCCAGTGTTAATGGCATGAAAATCCATTGCCTTTAAACCCTACCCGACCTATCTTCCTGTTAGAACGCACCCTAATGCATTCTTTCTGGGTCCTCTATTGATCAAGTCTTGGGTCTGCCCCTGGATACTAGTAAGCAACTTCACCTAGTTTCAATTAATGTGATTGCATTAATTTGCAAGTGCTAACAACAATTTCTCTCCACAGGCAGAGAATGCGCTTGGCTCACAGGAGCAAATAATTCTTTCATCAACAATGATTTTGACCCGTTTTTTTTGGAGACCCCTACAACCCCCTTTGGATCTCAACCATTGATGGTGTGGGCCCCACACATACATGAGTGGGTCTCACATGTACATCAATGGTTAAGATCCAAAGGGGATTGTGGGGGTCCCAAAAAAATGGGGTCTCAAGCATTTTTCTTCTTTCATAGTCTGTAACATTAGTGTTTATTCTAGTCCCAGTTAGGAGGCATAGAAACTGATGTGTTCTCTTTTATGGAGTCCGGATCCCCTCCTTGAGAAGCCTCATTGATATCCTACTTGCAACGGCCATAAAAAAATAAAAATAATAAAAAATAGAAATTTTAGTTTTCCCGCTCTGCTATACAAGTTATACAGAGTATACATTGACCTCAATCTCACTCGCACTCTCCCTCACTCTCACACTTACTTCTTCTCCTCCACTGAAACCAGCCTCACCGGCGGCCACTCCCGACGGTGACATACTCCCGATGGCGACCCACTCGTAAACCTAACCCACTGTTGTAGCCCTCATTTTCTCTACTTCGCGAACCATAGCTCCACCGCGACCACCATCGGCTAGAGCAAAGGAATTTGTTGAGGAGAACGTGGGTTCTGAGGCCATAGATGAACCAGGTTCGTCCTTGAAACGCTAAAATAAAAAAGTTAAGGTAGTGATTGGGAAAATATATTTGAAATTTGAAAATTGGGGCTTTCAAAATTACTCACTCAAAATTAGGGCTTTCAAAATTACTCTTACGTAGATTGATAAATAGTATGATTGATAAATGTGGAACATATTGTAAGGAACATATATGCATTTTGAAGCCAAATTATGCAGATTGATAAATAGTGGAACATATATCAGTAAAATGTGGAACTACAGTAGCTAAATTTTCAAATCATATATACATATTGTGGAATCATAGTTATGCAGATTGATAATTATGCAGATTGATAAATAGTATGATTTGTTGATAAATAGTATGATTATGCAGATTGAAAATTATCATAATGCATAATTTTCAAAACATATATGCATTTCGGAGCCAAATTATGCAGATTGATAAATAGTACGATTTGTTGAAAAATTTTGTGAGGAACATATTGTTTTTGAATATATTGTTCTATTACCCTTATTACAGAGAAGCTGCCATAAAAGTACTCAATCATGCAAAACTACCATGTTTGTTCAGTTTGAAACTGCTATGTGTGTAACATGTGTGTAATTAATCACAAATGCTATGTTTGAAACTGAAGAAAATGACTGACATTGAACTGCCATATTTGTTCAAATGCTATTAACAGTTTAGTCTGTGTAACCTTTGTTCAAATGCTATTAAACATGGCAGTTTGAACAAATAGATGTTTTCAGTAAAGACATACACTCTGTCCCTCAAATTCAAATAGAATTACTATTAACCCATCAAATACAAGCATAGCACAACACTACAAATTTCTCAGGTATGCAGATTTAAAAAATGGCTTCTTCTTCTAACAATAGCAACATAAGATTACAACCGAGGCTGTGCAATTGTAGAAGAACCACTACCATATATATTGTAAGAACCAATGAGAATGGAAATTAAGGGCGTTTGTTCTTTGTTTGCCCATCAAAATATGTAGGTATGTATTGGAAATTTTAATCCTTTAGTAGTCACATTAATATTTGTCTTATTCAACTAACTGATTGTCATGCATTATAGAGTAACACTCCCACTCCCCATTGTAATTACTTCAAGTTCGTGGATGAAGATGATGAAGATGTTATGTCCAGAATCCGTTCTAACACTAGAGCTTTTGATGCTATAACAGTAGAAGACTTTAACGATGTAAGGACGAAGCTTGATGACATGGAAAATGACTATGGTCGAAGGCTTGAAAGGATAGAAAATAATATCAAAGCGATGGTGTATTTCATTATATTTTCTATCATTTTGTACTTTATGATGTGACTTTTGTACTTTATTGTATTTTGGGAAATTGAATGGAAGTTTCTACCATTTTTGGTTGTATTGTACTTCATGATGTAACTTATGTTTATGGAATGAATTTTATTATGATGTAACTTATGTAGCTTATGTAACTTACTTTAGAGCTTTGTGGAATGAATTTTATTATGGAATGAATTTATGGAATGAATTTTATAAGTTATTATGATGTAACCTAGAATTTTATTATGGAATGAATTTTGGGAAACATTGGTCTCCTCGTTGGAGCTTTGTGGATGCTATATGGATGAATTTTGTGGATGTTTTGTAGATGAATGTTGTGGATGCTATTTGACAGATCTGTGGCCTCAACCTGTTATCTGTTAGCAACTTCTTTTATTGCCCTCACTTATCAGACATAGACTATTATCTGTTAGCAAGTTTAAAGCAGATTTGGCACATTTTAAAGCAAGTTTAAAGCAGACTATTATCCGTTAGCAAGTTTGGCAGATCTGTGGATGCTATTTGTTGCAGGTTTGGTTCTATGGATGCTATTTGGCAGATCTGTTGCAGATCTGTGGATTGGCAGATCTGTTGTCTCAACTTGTCATCTGTTAGCAAGTTCTTTTATTTCCCTCACTTATCTGTGGCCTCAACTATTATCTGTTAGCAAGTATAAAGCAGATTTGGTAGATCTATGGATGCTGTGTGTTGCAGGTTTGGTTTTAATGAACAAGTTCTGTTATCTGTTGCAGGTTTGGTTCTAATTAACAGATTTGACAGATCTGTTATCTGTCAACTACTATCTGTTTGTTGCAAGTTTAAAGTAGGTTTGGATCTGTGGATGCTGTAATTGAACAGCATGACACCTTTAGGCCTTGAAAAATTAAGACACCAATTTGGGATAAATTTTCTAACAAATAGAAAAGCTGTGTACCTGTTCTTTCACACAAAAGAAAAATCTAAAAATGAAGTATAACATCAAGTGAAGTTTGCTCACATTGGTCCACCAAGTTATGCTTGAGAATACAGCTGTAGGTCTTCAAAAAATAAGACACCAAGTTTGCATAATTTTTCTAACAAATGAAAATGCTTAACATCAAGTGTAAATACAAGCCATTACCATCAACATCACTTACAAGCTATTAACATCAAGTGTAAATATAAGGCATTAACATTAACAAAATGTGGAACTACAGTAGCTACCGCAACAACTACAGCAGTAACACATTTTACCCCAATTCAGCAACTACAGCAGCAACATCACTTTCAAGTTTCAGTTTAAGCATCAGTTTGCAGTAGTTTGCTTCACAGTTTCAGCTGCTAGGACTTCTATTTCCAGTGCGTTCCACCACATTTTGCCTGTTGATAGCCTAAAACGGAAAAAGACAAAATTTTCAGTATGACAAACAGCAGCAAAGTCAACAACTATATACATGTTTTTTCCAGAATTTTCAGCAAGTAAATACTTGCTCTAAACATAATTTTCAGCAACAAAAAAACCAGAATTTTGAGCAACTAAAAATTATTCTTCAATCCTTTTGGTTGCACAACATGATTCACATCTTCGCAATCCGCTTCAAAGCTTTGGGTGTCATCATCATTACTTACTTTGTTTCCAACACCAAAATTAGCACTTAACTTGCCTTCAACATTTGCACCTAATGTAGCAAGGTGTGCAATACAGAAATCATAAGTTTCTTCAGTTTCAGCAGGTTTACTTGCTAGTGCTCTAAATGCGGTCATCAATGTCTTATACCGCGAGGCTTGTTGGAATTTCACATCTACTTGAATGTCATTCCCCTTAATGTCATTCACAGTTTCGGCTCTTGCTTGTTTAGTCCACCTCTTTAGAATGTATTGTGAAGGAACCTCTTTCATCTTCAATATGTCTCTAATAACCTTCAATGAGTGACAACACAAGATTCCTTCCCTTTTAAACTTTGTACAATTATAACCCAAAGAGCCTTCCCTCTCCATCTTCACTTTCCTTGCATGTTTGTTACCAACATCAACAACTGTGTAAATGGTACTAGCCTCGCCATATTCAATTGCTTCTATGTCCGATTCGGATCGAAAATACTCATTTTGAAATTCCTCAAAGATCTTTTTTGTGTACACATTACCCATTTGAATTAACATTCTTATTGTTGCTTTCACCTTTGGCAACCTTTGGCACAGAGCATATCCTGCTTCTAACTCCTTGTATCGCTTCTCGTAAAGTACCCTTTCGAAATGCATGAAGAATTCATTTAAGTTAAAATCAAAACGAATGTAATCCTTCAAAAAAGCATTAAAAGATTCACTAAGTTGTGTGGTACTCATTCCGCAGCCCATGTTGATCTAACATATGGCCAGCCCTTTTTTTCTTTTACCGCAAAAGTCAATTTCAACCAATGGTTTTCACGCGCATCATATTTATCAAGCATTTCCGCCCACTCTAACTTCCATTGATTTGCATCTTCAATGTCAAAGAAGAATTTATTTAGTACACCCTTTATCCCCTTATCTTGGAACAAACAATTAACATGTTTTAATGCATTTTGCATCAAATGCCAAGTACACGATCGGTGACTTGTGTCAGGCATACCGATGGGTATGGCTTTAGCCATTGCAGCATCTTGATCGGTGAACAAAGTTTTTGGTGCCTTTATTGACATAGCCTCTAGAAAATTTTGAAACAACCATACAAACGATTCGGCAGTCTCATCATACAACAATGCTGCACCAAATATAACTGTTTCCCTATGATGGTTGAATCCCACAAAAGATGCAAAGGGTCTATGTTCTTTGTTTAACTTGTAAGTCATATCAAATGTGACAACATCACCAAATTGCGCATAATCCATGATCATTGTGCATCGGCCCAAAACATATTGGTTATTTGCTCCTCATTATCTAACTGAAAAGCATAAAAGAAGGAATGATTTTACAAAGATTTTTCTTTAAAGTAATGCAGCACATTGCCTACTTCTCCATATGCTAAACTTTGTTGTCTTTTGGTTCTCAAATAAATTTTTTGATCTAATTTTGTAAACCTAAGACATTGCCTCCCACCAGCTTCCTACCCATGAGTTCAAAAGACTGGCCTAAACGAAGACCATATTGTGCCGCCAAATCTAACTCAATTGCTTGGGTAGTCGATATCTTTCTTTGTGACGGCAACATGTGGGCACACTCGGGTGATACAAGATCATGGTTACGTTTTTCTGTGAAATCAGTCACAACAAATTTTCTAGTACCCTCATCTAATTTAACATAAAGTTGAGCCTCACAACCGGTTCTATTTTCAGCTCTATGGTTTTTTGCCAATGGGTCTCGTTTGTCAACCTTCCGAAATCCCTCCTTGTTGCAAACCAAAAGTCTACAAATAAGTTGGTTAGTGAACTTGTTCTTCGTATAATAATCTTTTCTTATGCTAAACCCCATTCTTCCTCCATATGTATTATAAAAATCATACACACTTTGTTCAAAATCAACTGTCATTCCATGTTTTGGCTTCCAAGCACAATCATTCTCAGGTTTCATATCCATATCAAAATGCAAGTGAAAACCCATAAAAATAAAAACCTAGCTACATAAATAAAATCTTTATTTCAAAGACAAGAGAAAACAAGAAAGTGTCTAAGAAAAGGTATGCAATTAAGATCAAATAATAAATCAATTAAACTAGAAACATGAAATGAGAACTAAGTAGTGAGACCCAATTAAGATCAAATAATAAATCAATTAAATTATATAATCTCAAACTCCAACTACTTGGTTCTCTTTAAAGTGTCTAAGAAAAGGTATGCAAGCCAAGTACCTTTGGTAACACTGATTCATGGGCAACAAGAGTCATTTAGTTTTGGGTTGGGTCACTACACAGGGTTTGGCAAACCTATTGTAGCTCAATAGATACGAAATAACGTAAAAATACAAATTGTGAACTTTAAGAGCCTGATCATCAATTATAACAAGTGAATTTTTTTATCTGTCTATAGGTTCACATGAATGTTAATTGACTGTGTCTGTATTGTATTTTGGGAAATTGAATGTATTTCATTGACACAGTATTTTTAACACTGAAATACCATTGAAATACACAGTGTTGAATGTATACCATTGAATGTATTTCATTGGATGTATTTTTAACATTGAATGTATTTCAGTGGTACACATTTGATTCTGAACAATCATACACACATTGAAATACATAGTATTTTTAACACTGAAATACCATTGACAGTGTAAATTGAATGTATTTCATTGTTATTACAGACATACAATGAAGACTATGTTTTGTTTTGTTTCAATTTCTTTCTCTGTAATTACAGACGGAGACAATGAGGTTAGTCATCAGCCTATACAGTGTAGTGTAATTACAATGAGATTAGTCTTCAACCTCATTGCAATTACAGATAGAGACAATGAGGTCAGTCTTCAGACATCAATGTTATTACAGACATCAATGGATTTGGTTTGGGGAGTGAGGGCAAAACAATTACAGAGATAGAGACAATGAAGACTAACCTCTAGTCGCTGTAGCGAGGGTCTGCCGGTAAGGTGGAGGAGAAGAGCGTGACAGCTCTGGTTTGCCAAGTAGACAAAATCTGTAACAGCATCGAGAGTGTTTCCCCATCGTCAGATCTGCAACGGCGTCAAGACTGGGTCGCCGGTGAGGGTGGGTTCGACAGAGAAGAAGGAATGAGTGTGTTTTTGTGAGTGTGATTCCAAACCAAAATCTGTATAACCAAAATCTATATAGGCTGTGTTTTGTGTTTCATTTTGGGCGGGAAACTGAAAATGAAATTTCAATTTATTTATTTATTTATTTTTAATGGCCGTTGGATGTGCAACGGCTGATCTCAGTTGTTGCAAGGAGGAGATCAATGAGGCTTCTCAAGGAGGGGATTCAGACTGGTGGGTCTTTGTCAGAAAAGTTATTGAGCTACATGACAAGTATAAGGCTTATTTGAAACATTATTTTAGAGACCACTCTCCCTGAAAGAGGAGAAATTTCACACACCTAAATAACTTAGAGCAAATCTTTTCTTAATACAGACATTTATTAATTTATTTATTGATTGTTTTTCTCAATCCACACGCTAACATTTTTATTGGGTTAATCATCTGAGTTTTCTGGTATTGATAGAGCCTGTAAGGAAATGTGATGTTTTAAGCTACATAAGAAGCATATTCACATAAAATTCCAGTTTTGTTAGAGCATCTACAATCTTTCACTAATTCCTTTTTCATGCTACATTTCTTTAGCTTCATTGCTTGAGGCGCACACTATTTTTTAGGTATGTCAACTGCATGCAATTATGATTTGGATTATAAGCACTTGTAGTATTGTTTAATCTGATTTTGTTATGGATTTTTGATCAACATCCCCTCGTGCTGTGGCATTCTTTGATAGAATCTTACTATGTAGTTTACAAGGAGATTTAAGTATAAAACATGGATTGCCATTGCATTGACATATATGTGAGAAGAAAGTTGGGGCTTCAGGTTCCTTGATTCTGATTATTGATGTTAGGCCCTGATTATGTAATATGTGCATATCATTAAAATTATTTCTCCTTTGACTATGACTTGGCGGTAGCAATCAATGCAAGTAAAAATCACCAAGTGGCTGGCATGCTTTTCCTTGTATGAGAGAAAACACGAAAAATCCCCTCCATCCTGTAACATCATCCTGTAACATAGGGGAAAAAACTTTCCCCTGAATCATGAAAATTATATATATTACTGATAATTTTTTATTTGGGGCTTTCCTGTTTTTGATTTCTTGGTGCATACTTTTACTTGCTAATGGTTCTATTATGTAATCATATGTATTATGTGTCCTAATCTTTGAAACTTACGCACTGGGTGTTGTATATTCCTACACACATTTTCACCTTCAAGTATATTTGTAGCATTGGCATTGCGTTTCGATGTGTCCAGGGGGAAAGAGAGCCAATATTTCAAGAGTGCTTTTCTAGGATATACCATTGGTTTGGTCCTTACTATTATTGTCATGAATTGGTTTCAAGCTGCACAGGTGTGTATTGCTCTTTTCTTTTTACTATTATTGTCCTTACTTAACAGTTTCAATTTATTTTCTAAACTGTCATTCTCGTCATGATGTAGAACCTAAACATCCAAGTGACAAATTGATGAAGAACAATTGTGAAAGGAGCTCTAGCCCAACAACAGTGTCTCTAGCATCAGTATCAGTATCAGCATCATCACCACAATTGTTATTAAGATTTTCTTTAATTTGGATTTTAATTGTTGGTTTGGATAGTATATGTATTTGTTGGATTATACTATATTTATGGATTTTTATTTTGTTTGATATGTACGGTTAATAGTTAAGTTTTGTATGTGGTTGAAAATTGAATGGTACAGGTTGTAAAGAAATATTTTTATTGAATGGTTAAGAATTGAATGAATGAATGAATAGATGAATAATTTTGTATATGCATAGGTTATAGGTGGCGCAAAAAATATTACAGAATAAATTATAAAAACTAAATGAGACCTTTTGGTGACTAAACAAATGTCACGGGTTGGCTTTTGGCTACTAAAACTTTAGTCGCCAATTGTGAAAAAGTGAAACTTTTGGCTACTAAACTGTTAGTCGCAAATTGTAAAAAAGAAACTTTTGGCTACTAAAATTTTAGTCGCCAATTCTCAAAAAGTAAAATTTTTTGCTACCAAATAATTAGTCGCCAAACATACATGCTCAATTGGCTACTAAATAATTTAGTCGCTAAAAGTAAATATGTTTATATATTTAATTTTTTAAAAAAAATATATGGTGACTTAAAAAAAAATATGGCGACTAAGGTTTTAGTCACCAATAGGCCACTTTTGGCTACCAAAAAAATTTAAGTCGCCGATTGTTTCCCCGACAAACTATAGGCGACCAAATGGGCGACCAAATATATTAGTCGGCAAAATTGATTTGCGACTTTAGTCGCCAAAAGTGAAATTTCTTGTAGTGATTTTGCAAGGCTATCAATGTATATCATTCATGAAAAAAATTATGTTAATCCGATAATCGTCATTTTCATTTTATTATATTTGTCGCTAAAAAAAATGAACGATTTATTTTTAAAAATATATTTGCTGTCCATTTTTTTAAAACAAATGTGATAAAATAAAAAATTTTACAATTATTGAAAGAGTTAATTTATTTTCATGGATGATATATGTACGAGCAAGAAATAATTCTCCTCGTATAATCCTATTGATCAAGTTTGCACTCCTCCAAAGGTTGTTGTCTTATCACCTGAAAACACAAATGTGAGCTAATCGGCGAGTGTGTGCCGAAAATCCCTCCGATGCTTAAGTCAGCAAGTAAACAATAGATAGAAAGCTTTGCGTATTCAAGAGTCAGAATTGCAATACCTGGAAATAGGTGTTGTCATGAGCTTTGATAAATTCTGTGTAGCACAATCTTAGTAGGACTCTATCCCTCCTTTGTAGAGTCCTCCTGGGAGTCACATTCCCAAAGGATGATGATTATCCCTAAGACACCCTCTTCACTACCAACCAAGTGAAATGGCCAGAACTCTTTGGTCGGCTGTCGCTGCGCTCAACCGAGCTATATTGTTTTGTTCTACTTCTAGCTGAGCCGTACTAAACTTGACCAAAAAATGGTGCTCTGTCAAGCTATAGCTAGCTCGACCTTTTCCGTTAAAGTCGCCTCAGTTCGCTTACTAACCGTGCATAAATAGCTAGGTCTATGTCCAAACAATCATCTCTGTCCAGCTCAACATAGGTTCAAACCAAAACCGAGCTACACGAGCGCTTATCTCGGCCCATTGCGCGGCCCAAGTTCCAAAGAGGATTTTATCTAGCCTGGCCTAATTTATCTACACAAAGTACCCTCTCAACATACTTGGAGAGTCTTACAAAATAAATGATTTAAATTATCAAAATGGAACTTATGATGGTGTCCACAAATCCCTTAAATTCTTTCATATTAAGATGTAAATATTGTTAGATAATGTCTCAATGGGACCACATAATTAAATGTGGTGTTATCATTTATAAGAAGCCTACAATTTAAGTGATTCAATTTAGTTAATAGGCTTAAGGGTATATGTGTTATGGACCTAATGTGTAGATACTAGTTGTATAAGTTCTGAAATTTATGTTTACAATTGGTATCAGAGCCAACATATCATGTGTCTTATCAGAATTGATATGCTTTATTCATTCTATGTAGTTTCCTGGAATCAGATTCTAAATTTTCTTATGGATGTAAATTCTATTTTTTCCTGTTTTGTTCTGTGAAAATGGCAATCTGTTTTCTGGAATTGTAAAATGATTCGATGGGCAGTTTTACTTGGCAGAATTACACACACATTTTGTTGTGATAAACATGTGCCAATTGTCAAGAAAACCTAATGTGAATAATAAATCCATTAAAAGATAGATTTGTTATTTGACATAACTTATTGTCAATGTTTGATCATTACAACAAGAATACCACTTACAGTTAATATCACTATCCAAAGGCTTGGTATTAATGTTGTGCTAGGTATCTTGAGATG